GAAAATGTCCGACAGATATTTCGATAAGTGAAAGGTCCATCCCACTGAAGACGTCTTGTCTACAAAAGGATAAGTAGGTATGCAATGTACCCATTCAGGGTGCAGTCACGTGTCTCCTGGATGGATACAAATTGCAATGAAGACAAATTTGGTGGCATCAGGAGAATTATTTGAAGTTTTCCCTAACCGGGGATGCAACAAAGTAATCATCACTCTAATACAAAGTGACATGCGGTTGGCGCGTGTTCGAGAAAAAAAGAAAGCAAACATCACTTGTTAGCATCTACCAAAGATGCTTTTTTGCAGTAGATGCACACCTTTGGATTGGCATTTTCTATACAACCAAACCCTCTATCAATTTGCTAGGCGAAGTGCCAAGGGAGTAATGTAAATCGTCAGAATTTAAAGCACCCCAGATCTTTTACAGCAAACTATTTTCTTTCTGACAACAAGAAGACAGAGGCCATATACTACCATATAGGAAGTAGAAAATCAAATTACTTCTCAAAGTTACTTCGGAGCAGTTGGTTCATGTATTATTGATGAATACCTCAGCTCAACCTCTTTCCGAATATTAGACATAATATAAGTCAACAATAAACACTGTGTCAAATCATTCAAAATAGGTACAGAGCCGTATCAAATGCTAAATATTACTTGAGTGCAAACATCCAAACACACACACACACACACACACAGAGAGTTTTGGATGGCAGATAAAGCAGAGGGTCTTAAGAAGGCTAGGTTTCTGAACACGCAACGAGGTTACTCAGAGAATTACCCACTTATGTGATGCGAACACCTACTGGATCTAGTCCTTTACTTTGCTAAGTGTGGCAAAAGGTTTTTGAACATGAAGTTTGAATGATGGCACTTAAATTTTAGTTTGCACTAGATGTTTGCCTGAGCGTAACATGAAAAGGTGTTCACATCAAAAATCTATAAGCATGAATACCACAAATGAGCAGACAATTGGGTTAAGAACCATTACCTGTCAGTGTTTAACGTTCTAAAAAGTACCCGTTGAACTCCTTTAGGAATATGCAAAGATTCCATCGTTTTAGCTGCAATGATAGATCAACTCAATATGCAGATTCCATGTCTAATTAAACAGATACTAAGGTATTAAATCAGACTTCGCCAAACATTAGTTAGACAAGTTTGACTTCCTGCTGTCAGTAGCTAAATACAAAATCAATTGTTTTATACAAGTTTGATTTCTTTGACACATTTCCTTGGTCCTGTAGCTCACCTTTCATAGACTCATTCTTTTCTAGAACTTAGGTAAGGTCTGACCACCTATTTGTTGGCCACAAAAAGTGTGGCACGACTTAGCCAATCACACACAATCAACATAATAATCCGCAGCAAACAAATAGTTAGGCCAAGTAAACAACACTAGCCTTTTTAGGACACTAACAAATAAGCGGCTGGCACGAATAATACAAATTTTACCAGTAATATTTTCATCCCTTGGAACATCAACCAGCAGTGCAGGACCTAATAACACAAAACCAGTTGTTAGAACTGTATAATACAATTGCATATACATAATAAATACGTGCATCTAATTGTAACCCTGTGAGTAATGATTCAGATGTACACATCGTATGCTACATAATGCCTTTTCTCCCAATAATGGCATGTTCAACATGCAGTATCACTCATTTTTTGCAAGCCTGAGGAGTGAGCTATGATCTTGTACACGCAATACTTAAAAAAGCTTTATGTTACTCAACAACAGTTAACATGGAAATTTGGCCGACTAAGAAAATGTTTGAAGCACTGGAACAGAGCTCTTATAGACTGGATGGTATCAGCACTTTTAATCAAGAAATTAAGGAAACATGACGTAGCAACCTTTTCAGTTTCTCCAGTACCCCTCCCTGATCTGTCCCAGAAAAATGTGATATTTCTAAAAATTCCCTATGGAGCTAGTCTCACTAGAAATTTACGAGTAGTATATTTTGATGAACGGAATGGCTTTCACAGGAAATATTTTTTATGCAATCATGCTATATATGTTCTGCCCACGGCCTTCATTCCTTCAATCTTCCAACAAGAAGAGTAACGAAGCAGCAAAGTATAGTTGCCATAATCTGCCTAATTTGCAAACTTCTGCATCGAAGACGTGTTCAATTCAGACAAATTTCAATCCCCAAAAATGAGTTCGCATAGCCATTGGTCACGGTCCTCCGATAGCATGTGACCCAATTCCTGCTTGACAACGCAAACGCAAAACAGAGTGACACGTTTGGAACGGCCACCGCTTCACTGGTACTGTACTACAGAAATTGCTAGCGATTAAAAAAAAAGAGAGAGAGGCGGCGGCGGCGGCGGCGGCGGCGACGGTGGAGTGAGCTCACCGTTGAGGACGTCGAGGTCGAGGGTGTCGACGTCGAAGCCAGCGTCGAAGTAGTGCTGGAAGACGTGGCCGGGGGCGTCGACGTGGGTGCCGGTGTGGGTGGGCATCCGCATCTCGGAGTTGTTGGCGAGGGAGCCGTTGCGCATGGAGGCGGGCAGCCACAGGAACTGGCCCACCCCGGCGCCGGACTCCCACGAGGGCATGTCCTCCCGGTAGTAGTGGGTGATGTCCAGGATGCGGCCCCCGCCGTGCGTCTCCCGGCGCTCCGGCGCCAGCACGGGCTCCGCCGGGCACGACGCCGGCTGGCTCGGGTAGGCCGGATGCGCGCACGGTGCGGTGGCGGCGGCGAGAGGGAGGAGGAGGAGGAGGAGGGGAGGCGCCATTTGGGACCAGTTGCTTCTCTCTCTCGGCATCGCGGATAGGTGCGGGTTATTCGGCGGTGCTGCTTCAGTTTTGCAGCACGTTTTACTTCAGCTTGTAACTACTCCCACATTTCCTGTTGCGACTTGCGAGTAGTGATCTCTGCTGAACTGCTTAGGCAAAATTTGGATTTGCGTATTGGAGTACTGCGTTCGTTCGTAATTTACCATGTTTTAGGCATGGCACCCTCTCTGGTATTCTCTTTGTTTCTGCACATTTCCTATTCTTTAGTTGCTTGATTTTCTTTTCATAGATGTGTTGAAGTATTCCTTTTGTATAGATTACCTTGTGTAGGCATTCAATCACCTGCCGATATGTATTGATTCGGTTAGGGAATCACTTATCTTCCTTGATAGTCAAGACACGTAATCTATAGGGCAGTGATCTGCGTCGGCGGACCGGCGCAACAATTGGGCCGGTCGCTTCCAGGTCGCCCGATCTAGCGAACCTCGGCCGTCAGATCTGATCAGGCTCCTGTTCTTCTTCGTCCCTCCCGCGTCTCCCACCTCCCGCCGCTGCACTCCAAACGTAAAGAACCGCCACCGCACGACCATGGAACCTGTTGGAAATATGCCCTAGAGGCAATAATAAAAGTATTATTATATTTCATTGCTCATGATAATTGTCTTTTATTCATGCTATAACTGTATTGTCCGGAAATCATAATACACGTGTGAATACATAGACCACAATATGTCCCTAGTGAGCCTCTAGTTGACTAGCTCGTTGTGATCAATAGATAGTCATGGTTTCCTGGCTATGGACATTGGATGTCGTTGATAACGGGATCACATCATTAGGAGAATGATGTGATGGACAAGACCCAATCCTAAGCATAGCACAAAGATCGTGTAGTTCGTTTGCTAGAGCTTTTCCAATGTCAAGTATCTCTTCCTTTGACCATGAGATCGTGTAACTCCCGGATACCGTAGGAGTGCTTTGGGTGTATCAAACGTCACAATGTAACTGGGTGACTATAAAGGTGCACTACAGGTATCTCCGAAAGTGTCTGTTGGGTTGACACGGATCGAGACTGGGATTTATCACTCCGTATGACGGAGAGGTATCTCTGGGCCCACTCGGTAATGCATCATCATATTGAGCTCAAGGTGACCAAGGTGTTGGCCACGGGATCATGCATTACGGTACGAGTAAAGTGACTTGCCGGTAACGAGACTGAACAAGGTATTGGGATACCGACGATCGAGTCTCGGGCAAGTAACGTACCGATTGACAAAGGGAATTGTATACGGGGTTTGATCGAATCCTCGATATCGTGGTTCAACCGATGAAATCATCGAGGAGCATGTGGGAGCCAACATGGGTATCCAGATCCCGCTGTTGGTTATTGCCCGAGAGTCGTCTCGGTCATGTCTGCATGTCTCCCGAACCCGTAGGGTCTACACACTTAAGGTTCGGTGATGCTAGGGTTATTAGGAAGACTAGTATGTGACTACCGAATGTTGTTCGGAGTCCCGGAAGAGATCCCGGACGTCACGAGGAGTTCCGGAATGGTCCGAAGGTGAAGTTTTATATATGGGAAGTTGTTATACGGACACCGGAAAGTTTCGGGGGCTTATCGGTATTGTACCGGGGCCACCGGAGAGGTTCCGGGGGTCCACCCCTCCCGGAGGGCCACATGGGCCGCAAAGGGGAGGGAGCCAGCCCCTGGAGGGCTGGGCGCGCCCCCCACCTTGGGCCCATGCGCCTAGGGTTGGGGGGGGACCCTAAAGGGGGCGCCCCCCTTGCTTGGGGGGCAAGTCCCCCCTCCCTGGCCGCCGCCCCCCCTCTAGATCTCATCTAGAGGGGTCGGCCCCCCTTGCCCCTTCCCCTATAAATAGAGGGGTGAGGGGAGGGCTGCTGTACACATCTTCCAGGCGCAGCCCCTCCCCTCCCCAACACATCTCCTCCTCCGTTACGTGCTTGCGAAGCCCTGTCGGAGTACTGCTGCACCAACACCACCACGCCGTCGTGCTGCCGTTGGAGCGATCTTCCTCAACCTCTCCTTCCCCCCTTGCTGGATCAAGAAGGAGGAGACGTCTCCCGTCCCGTACGTGTGTTGAACGCGGAGGTGCTGTCCGTTCAGCACTTGGACATCGGTGATCTGAATCACGTCGAGTACGACTCCATCATCACCATCCCCTTGCAAGCTTCCGCACGCGATCTACAAGTGGTATGTAGATGCAAACTCACTCCCTTGACTCGTTGCTTAGATGAACTCATAGATGGATCTTGGTGAAACCGTAGGAAAAATTTTAATTTTCTGCAACATTCCCCAACAGTGGTATCAGAGCTAGGTCTATGCGTAGTTCTCTAATGCACGAGTAAAACACAATTTTGTTGTGGGCGTGGATCTTGTCAACTTGCTTGCCACTACTAGTCTTTTCTTGCTTCAGCGGTATTGTGGGATGAAGCGGCCCGTACCAACCTTACACGTACACTTACGTGAGACCGGTTCCACCGACTGACATGCACTAGTTGCATAAGGTGGCTGGTGGGTGTCTGTCTCTCCCACTTTAGTTGAAGCGGATTCGATGAAAAGGGTCCTTATGAAGGGTAAATAGAAGTTGACAAAATCACGTTGTGGTTATTCGTAGGTAAGAAAACGTTCTTGCTAGAACCCAATTGCAGCCACGTAAAAGATGCAACAACAATTAGAGGACGTCTAACTTGTTTTTGCAGCGATTGTTCATGTGATGTGATATGGCCAGAAGTTATGATGAATGATGAATTGTGATGTATGAGATCATGTTCTTGTAATAGGATTCACGACTTGCATGTCGATGAGTATGACAACCGGCAGGAGCCATATGAGTTGTCTTTAGTTTTTGTATGACCTGCATGTCATTGAAGAACGCCATGTAAACTACTTTACTTTATTGCTAAACGCGTTAGCCATAGAAGTAGAAGTAGTCGTTGGCGTGACAACTTCATGAAGACACGATGATGGAGATCATGATGATGGAGATCATGGTGTCAAGCCGGTGACAAGATGATCATGGAGCCCCGAAGATGGAGATCGATGGAGCTATATGATATTGGCCATATCATGTCACAACTATATAATTGCATGTGATGTTTATTATGTTTATGCATCTTGTTTACTTAGGACGACGGTAGTAAATAAGATGATCCCTTACAACAATTTCAAGAAGTGTTCTCCCCTAACTGTGCACCGTTGCTACAGTTCGTCGTTTCGAAGCACCACGTGATGATCGGGTGTGATAGATCCTTACGTTCACATACAACGGGTGTAAGACAGTTTTACACAACAAAAACACTTAGGGTTAACTTGACGAGCCTAGCATGTACAGACATGGCCTCGGAACACGGAGACCGAAAGGTCGAACACGAGTCGTATGGAAGATACGATCAACATGAAGATGTTCACCGACGATGACTAGTCCGTCTCACGTGATGATCGGACACGGCCTAGTCGACTCGGATCGTGTAACACTTAGATAACTAGAGGGATGTCTAATCTGAGTGGGAGTTCATAATTTGATTAGAACTTAATTATCATGAACTTAGTCTAAAACCTTTGCAAATATGTCTTGTAGATCAAATGGCCAACACTCATGTCAACATGAACTTCAACGCGTTCCTAGAGAAAACCAAGCTGAAAGATGATGGCATCAACTATACAGACTGGGTCCGGAACCTGAGGATCATCCTCATAGCTGCCAGGAAGCAATATGTCCTAGATGGACCACTAGGTGACGCTCCCGTCCCAGAGAACCAAGACATTATGAATGCTTGGCAAACTCGTGCTGATGATTACTCCCTCGTTCAGTGCGGCATGCTTTACAGCTTAGAACCGGGGCTCCAAAAGCATTTTGAGCATCACGGAGCATATGAGATGTTCGAAGAGCTGAAACTAGTTTTCCAAGCTCATGCTCGGGTCAAGAGATATGATGTCTCCGACAAGTTCTATAGTTGTAAGGTGGAGGAAAACAGTTCTGTCAGTGAGCACATACTAAAGATGTCTGGGTTGCACAACCGTATGACCCAGCTGAACATTAACCTCCCAGATGAGGCGGTCATTGACAGAATCCTCCAGTCGCTCCCACCAAGCTACAAGAGCTTTGTGATGAACTACAACATGCAGGGGATGGTGAAGACCATTCCTGAAGTGTTCTCAATGCTGAAGTCAGCAGAGGCTGAAATCAAGAAAGAACATCAAGTGTTGATGGTCAATAAGACCACTAAGTTCAAGAAGGGCAAGGGCAAGAAGAACTTCAAGAAGGACGGCAAGGATGTTGCCGCGCCCGGTAAGCCAGTTACTAGGAAGAAGTCAAAGAATGGACCCAAGCCTGAGACTGAGTGCTTTTATTGCAAGGGGAAGGGTCACTGGAAGCGGAACTGCCCCAAATACTTAGCGGATAAGAAGGTCGACAACACCAAAGGTATATTTGATATACATGTAATTGATGTGTACCTTACCAGTACTCGTAGTAACTCCTGGGTATTTGATACCGGTGCCGTTGCTCATATTTGTAACTCACAGCAGGAGCTGCGGAATAAATGGAGACTGGCGAAGGACGAGGTGACGATGCGCGTCGGGAATGGTTCCAGAGTCGATGTGATCGCCGTCGGCACGCTGCCTCTACATTTACCTACGGGATTAGTTTTGAACCTTAATAATTGTTATTTAGTGCCAAGTTTGAGCATGAACATTGTATCAGGATCTCGTTTAATACGAGATGGCTACTCATTTAAATCCGAAAATAATGGTTGTTCTATTTATATGAGAGATATGTTTTATGGTCATGCTCCGATGGTCAATGGTTTATTCTTGATGAATCTCAAGCGTAATATTACACATGTTCATAGTGTAGATGCCAAAAGATGTAAAGTTGATAACGATAGTCCCACATACTTGTGGCACTGCCGCCTTGGTCACATTGGTGTCAAGCGCATGAAGAAGCTCCATGCTGATGGACTTTTAGAGTCTCTTGATTATGAATCGTTTGACACATGCGAACCATGCCTC